GACTGGTTAAAAGGGAAGGACAGCCTAATTGAGAAGGCAAAGACATTAGCTGACGTAAGGAAAAACAAGAAGCAAAGGTCTTATGGCCTGTTCAAGTCTTCAGGATATCAACGTTGGGGGCATAATAATCAAGGTGCCAGCCAGGTGGGCTACAAAAGTAACTATCAGGAGGGTTCTCAGAATATGAACAAGCTTTTTCGTCAAGGCCACCAAGCCTATAATTACACATTGTCATCACCATCAAAAAAGTGCTACATCTGTAGTGGCTATGGCCACTTCGCGAAGTGTTGCCCCTCTGAACCAAACAGAGCCCCAACCCAGCAACAAGATTACCAGACGGCATATAAATCAAGAGGATATGCAACCTACAGAGGCCAATTCAACAAACCACCAGAGCACACTAGATATGATTGACTACACCCGGGCCCAGCAGAAAATACAGGTCACAGGACGTATTCACTTGGAAAAACATGTCCACTACTGGGAGGAAAAAATCAAAGCCTCAAGCCTGGTTATCAAATGGTTGAAAGAGGGTGTTCCGTTATTTTCAAAGGGCCTACTAGAACTTGCCAGGCAATCAGATCCACCACAGTACCCGTTGACAAAGGACCAACTTGCCTGGGTTGGTTTGGAAATAAAAAGATTAATAGAAGTGAAAGCGATATCTTTAGTAGCAGTTGCAGAAAGCAGACCCCCACACTTACTAGAGGTGAGCCCTATATTTTTAGTCCCAAAAGCAGGGCCGAAGAAATGGAGATTAATCATAGACCTTCGACGTCTAAACAAAACACTACCTGTAAAACCGTTCAAGTTCGAGGGCTTTGGAACATTTTTGCGCATGATAGGGAAAAGTTGGTGGACAGTTGTGCTAGACTTAAAAGATGGTTACCACCATATATTAATGGAAGAAGAAGCTCAAAGGCTATTGGGTTTCAGGCTACAGTCAAATTGGTACCATTACAGGGTGTTACCTTTCGGACTAAGTCAAGCAGTATGGGTGTTTTCAAAAGTTATGCGAGCATTAATAGGACATTGGAGGTCATTAGGAATCTTCTGTGGAAACCATGTGGACGACTTTTGGGTCGCCCACCCTTGTCAAAAAACATTATTACACATAAGAGACTCAGTTGTGTTAAAGGATCTAGAGCATTGCGGGTTTGTTCTAGCAGAAAAAGGTCACTTAGACCCAACACAGAATGTAAAATACCTGGGGTTGATGTTAAACACTGTAACAGGAATAGTTTCAGCACCAGATGCAAAAGTCGACGATGCTGTTCATTGCTTGCAAGACATTCTGTCCAAGAAAAGCCTTACTGCCAGACGCCTCTCCTCAGCCACTGGAAAACTAATGAGCCTGAGTCGTGCGTTCAAACATGCAAAGGTTCGTTGTTTGGAACTGTACACAATTATAGATGCAGAACGCAGGAGACCCTGGGAATGGGACAATGCAGTTCATTTGTCACAGCAAGCAATAACAGATATAAATTGGGTAATAACAAACCTAAAAGCAAAGAACGGAAGCCCAGCCTGGAGACCTTCACAAGTAATTCCAGTATTTGTGGATGCTTCTACAACAGGTTGGTCAGCGACATTGGGGGCACGAAAAGCCTTCGGAAATTGGGATCGTTACCACAAACATACGGACATTGCAGCTCTCGAATCACTAGCAACCTTATTGGGTCTGGAATCATTTGCTCCGATCATTTTACAACACAATGTAACAGTCTTCATAGACAACCGAGTGGCCAGGAAAACAGTAGAATCAGGTGGCAAGAGGCCATGGCAGAAAGAAATAATGCGCGAAATATGGAACTTTTGCGACCAGTACGATATCAAAATCCACGAGTTTCAGTGGATCCCATCAAGGCTAAACCCTGCAGACGAATTGACAAGAATATTCGACGAGTCAGATTGGTCACTAAACCAAACGCTGTTCGACTTATTAAACAAGAAATGGGGACCATTCACTATAGACCGAATGGCAAGTTACCACTCAAGGAAGCTAAGACGTTACAACAGTCGGTTCTATGGTCCAGAGGCAGAAGCAGTAGACTGCTTCACCCAGGTTTGGAGCGACGAAATCAATTATGTCTGCCCCCCTCTAAGTTTAATTCACAGAGTTCTAGAACATGGGCGGCAGACCCAGGCAATAGTAATACTGATCATGCCAATTTGGGTTTCGGCCCCTTGGTGGCCCCTCTTACAACAGCAACAACAAATCGAGGTGATAAGCTTGCCTCCAGCAACACAAAGCTTTGTGCCATGCCTAGGTGGAAACCTACCACCAGAACCATGCAAGAACCCACTCTGGCGGTTCCAGGCCGTAAGAATAGTCTTCTGAATTCCTTACTATCAAGAGCGCAAAAGCTCCTACTACCAAAATCAGCATTCGAAAAGCGTCTGAGTAGTTTATGGAATGAGTTTGAAACTTTTTGTAAGATTCATAGTGTGGTGCACTGCCCAGCAAAACCAGATACGATTATAATATTTTTAACGTGGATGGACGTACTGTCAAGGTCTATGAAGCTCCGTTTTTATCTAATAGCTATCAGCCGCCGCCATCAGGAACTAGGACTAGAGGATCCGACCTTAGACTTTAATGTGAGAAGGTTGGTGCGGACCTTAACAAAACTTGCTGCAGATGAAAAGGAAGCAACATGGCCAAGGGACCCCCTGCCAGTTGATGCTTTAAAGTACTATGTAGACAATCCACCCCTGAATACCCGATGCCAAATTTGGAAGAGAAATTGTGCAATGATTGCACTTGGTTTACGTACTATGAGGCGTCCTGCTGAATTATGTAATCTGAGGGTAGGGGATTTAAAGATGCTTGATGGTGTATGTTGGGTTAGGATAAATAAGTCGAAGACAGATCAGTTTGCAAAAGGGAAATTTGTTCCTGTAGACCCTACGAATTCACCATACTGTCCGGTCAGATTAACCTTTGAATATTTGGCGACGAAAGATGATAAGGAAGAAAATGATTGGTTATTTTTGAATGCATTAGGGAAACGTATGACAACAGGAACGGTAAGTACAGTAGTTAAGAAAATGGCCCACCATGCAAATTTGAAAGGAAAGTATTCAGGCCATAGTGTGCGTATTGGTGGAGCTACTGAAGCTATGAAAGCAGGTTTAACGTTGCCTCAAATTATGAGTATCGGGGGTTGGTTATCCCAATCGGTGGCGCTCTATCTGAGATCCTTTTCAACAGCGCTGCAAGGTACTTCAGTCAAAATGGGTTTTTGAAAAAAAAAAAAAAAAAAAAAAAAGGAGTAGAGGGATCGTTAGTTGTAACATCAAATTGCCGATCCTCTTTTGTCTCCCGTAATGTTATTTCATATAATAAAGCTATCCGAGCGAGAATAATGACCCATTGCATTGACGATAGTCATGCAAGGGTATTATCGCGAGGATGATCCAGGTGACCAACCAGTTTTAGTT